GCCCAGCGTCTCTCGAGGGCCAAGGCCCGCATGGCGTTCGACGCTTCGCCCTGGGGCGCCGGTGGCGCGCCGCCGGTGAAGGGCGAGATCGCCGAGCGGTTCGCAACGCAGTTCGGCGAGCAGGAGGCGATCGCCACAGGGGTGCAGTTTGGCGGGCCCGAGCCCCAGCAGGTCGCAGAGGCAATCAGCGTCGCGCTGGGGACGAGGGCGCGGGCCAGCCCATGGCTTGGGTGGTTCCCGCGGCCCGAAGTGTTCTGACAGCGTCGCGGCGCTCTACATGCTGGCGCGGATGCAGACGCACAGCTGCCGCGCGGCCGCGATTGCCAGGGAGGTGGCCATCGCCCTTTCGGACGCTTGCGTCAGGCCGGACGTGGTGGCGCACGTCCCATGCGTGGCGAACGTGTTGCAGATCGTTTGTGCCGTCGTTTCCAGCAAGATGTATTTTCTTTCTCTCCCATGCATTCTCTTGCGTTCAAGAGACCATTGTCCCGCCACGGGCGCCTGCTTACTTTCGCACGGCCTGGCCCGCGATGCAAATGCGCGGGGGTGGGGGGGTGGGGGTCAGCCTGATCACGCGCGTTGCGTCAAGCTGTTTAACGCAGCGTCGTCGTCAGCATTGTACTAAGCGGTTCGAGCTTAAAATGCTGGGCGTCAAGCTGCTTGGCACCGCCCGGCAAACATGCAGACCTCATTCCCCGCTTCCCAGCGGGCGGGCCCCACAGGCGGCGTTCGCGCGGCGGCGCCGCCGCATTTCGGCGCGACCTTCACGCGTTCCGCGGCCCCGGAAGGAGGGGCAAGATGAGGTTTTCTACCTCTCGCCCTTGGGGCACCCCGGGAAGTCTACATGCATTGTCTGCCCCTCCTGGGCTGCAGTTCCGAATTGATGGCTTCGTTGCGCCCAGATGCTTAGCGCAGCGCCGCAGCGAGCACCCTGTTGGTGCGTTCGTCGCAGTGTCCAGCCATAAAGCAGCTTTTCGGTTTGGGTTCTGTCGGAAGGCTCAGTTGTTTTAAGCTGCTCGGCGCAAAGCCGCATCGTCGAGCAGTTCCGGTGGGGCGGGCCATGCTGGGTTAGGTCGTCAAGCTGCTTGTCGGCCCATGGTGCACCATTGCTGCGCGCTATCGACGCCGCGGCGCGGTGGCCCGACAGTCGCGCTGCTCGGAGGTCTGGCTGGCGCGCCAGGGTGCTTGGCGCCGCGCCCGTGGATGTGAGTCATCGGCCGTTGCCCCGTGGGGGCCGAGTACAACTGGCGTCGCGAGAGGGCCGCCTGGCCGTCGCGCTGGTTGGCGGGCTGGCCTCGACGTGGCGGGGGTGCCCGGCGCTTCGCCCGTGGCGTTTGATCCCAGTTCTCAGCGTGCCGAAGCGCAAACTGGCCCCGAGTGGCCCACCGCGCCTGCGATGGTCCGTTGCGGGGCCTGCGGGGCCGTGGGCCGCGGCTGCTGCAGGGGTCATCGGGCGTCCTGCTGATCATCCAGTTCAGCTTCGTGGGACTCTAGATCGGGGCGCGGCGGCGGTCGGAGCGTCGAGGCGGCGACGCAAGGTCGGCCGGCTGAAGAGGGGCAGTTCGCGGTAGGAGGACATGCCCACGCTGCGACCGTCGAGTCGCGGTAACAGAGCGCTGGCACTTGCCGCGGCAGAGTCGGAAGGCTACAGAGCGAGTGCGCTGAACGACCTCATGGCGGCTACGGTGGCCGTTTCGGCAGCTGCTCCGATGGAGTCGTTGCTTCAAGCGTGGTGTTCTTTTCATACAGCCTGGTTCGGTTCGGACATTGATGCGCTCCTGGTCACAACGGCCAAACTTTCCCCAGGGGAGGCCGTGCTGCGTGCCGGCGGTTATCGGCTCATTGGCAATCACATTCCTCGCGTCAAAGATCGGCACCTGGAGCGCGGCCACGCGTGGACGTAGCATTTGGCGCGGGCTGGACGACAACCGAAACGGTCAGTGACGAGAGGCATTCGTGCAGCTCCGCAGTCTGCCGCATTGAACTTGGCCGTGGCGAGGAGAACTATTGCTTCTTGCTCTTCGGGCACTGATTGCACCAGAGGACCCATGGGCGCGGCCAGCGTGGCACTGACGTGGCTCCTTTGGATGGGCCGGGAGCTCGGGTTCAGCTTCGCGAAGGTCAAGGATTTGGCGGTCGACATTAGGAAATAGTTCGTGGATTGGACGTTGCCGACCTCAAAGAAAAGTGCATCTGCCGCGGTGACCGTCTGCGCGCATGCCCCTATCATTCCATCGTGGACAAGCTCGCCGTCTTAGAGAGGAGGTTCGGCGGCACCGTCCACTTGCAGGGTTTGCCGATGCCCCCTGCGCTATCTGGGAGGTGTGCGGAGAAGGGTGCGGTTTTAAAGACCATCGAGTACGTTGCACTGCGCTGCGAGGAGCGGCTGTTTGATGATTTGTTGGGCTCGGCGCTTTGGACGCCACAGCCTGCGCGCGACGGGTGCGAGACACCTGGCAGGGATGGGGGCCGAGCATAGCCCTCGTCCAGTTGATAGCCCGTTGGTCGTCTGATGTAGTTTTTGCGCTATGTCGCGAAGTCGTCTTTCAGAGGTCTGTCGGACGTCGTGCGGCGCGGGGCCGCAGCGAATCCCTTGGCCACGCCATCCAGGAGCTTGCCGTTCAGGTGGACAGGTTGACGGAGGGCGCCGTCGAGGATAGGCGCACGCTGGTCTACTTGCGCGAAGAGCTGGAGCTTGCGAGGGCCAGGGAGGTGCCCCCGCCAGCGCCCGTGGTCCTCAGACGCTTTCGTTCGCAACTTGGAGTCGGCCGGTGTGCATTGCCCAGCCGCGTGGTCTCGGGGCGTCGCGCCACGATGGTGGCTAGCCGTTGCGGATGGTCTTTTGGAAGTGCCACCTCCGAAGATTGCGCTGCGTTGGCAGCGTGCAGCGCCGAGCTTTGCGGCGCGTGCTTCCGCAGGGAGAAGCGCAAGGCTTTGCGTGCCGAAGCGTCAGGTTCGGCGGAATCGCCATCATCTTGAGTGCCCAGTGGTTCCTCCCGAGGCTTCCACGGCACAGCCTCAAACTTGACGTGTTGCTACTTGCTTGCCGCTCGTAAGCCCTGCCCAGCACCGTATCGCCGTTGACGTTGAGGTCATGCGGAGGCGTTGCGAGCAGCAGCGGCGCAACTCAGTAGCGGTAACAGAAGTATAACTCATTTTGTCTGTGTTGGTTGGGCGGGGTGATTGGTCTTTCACGGCGTGTGGTCCTCTTTCTTTCCCACGCCAGTGGCAGCGTCATATAATGATGACCGCCATCATATTTTCCATGAGACCTGGGACTTCTGGTGCACCAGATACTGCACGCGGCCCTTGCCTTTAGTTCGATCCCGTGCCGATCCCAAGTTCCCTGACCCGCCCCTCCTTCCCGCTGTCGGTCCCGTCCCCCCGCGTGCTCTTGGGTCACACTGCAGGGCGATGGCGGGCGCGATCCGCGTGTCGCGGTCTGGCCCGGAGAGGTGCTCGACTCCACGGGGGCGGCGCCCGGCGCGGGGGTGCGGAGAGCGCGGAGAGGAGCCGCGCGTCGCGCCGAGGCGCGAAGGCGGAGCCGGAAGGTGCCAGCCCGTGCGCCCACGCCGATCCTGACCAGACCAATCTTGGGCCGCGGATCGGCATGTTATCAGGAGGGGAAAAAACACACAGACACAATTAATCGTCGACCCCCAAGAAAATATGGCACAATATGGGAATTGGGCGGGAAGACAAAAACCCAGAAAATATGAGAAAATATGGGGCGTCATTTTATTTGTGTGTATTTATTTGTGTGTCCTTGTGCCCCTTGATGTTGGGCGCTCCTGTCTCGGCCAGGAGGGCGTCTATCACCAGCCTGGAACACATCCCTCTCCCCGCAAGGAGGAAAGACTGGTCTACTCTGTGAGAGCGGTTTTTTGAAGGCAGATCTGCCTTCAAAAAACCGTTCTTGAAGGCAGATCTGCCTTCAAAAAACCGTTCTTACAGAGTAGGCCAATTTTTTGAAGGCAGATCTGCCTTCAAAAAACCGTTCTTACAGAGTAGACCATTTTTCGAAGGCAGATATGCCTTCAAAAAACCGTTCTTACAGATTGGCATTGCCTCATCTCGATGCCGATCTTAGGAATCCCCGCCGTTTCTGAGGGCGCATCCCTAAGATCGTCGTCGACTCTTGGCTTGTTAATCTTAGGGAGAGGGATACGTTCGAGGCTGGTTAGTATACTTGGAAAGTCCAGGCTTTGCTCGGGCGTATGAGGTGCCGATCCGAGCCCACGCGCGGAATTAAGGAGCGGAAGGGGGATTGGGAAGGATCCGAGGCGAAACACAATCCCAGTCATTTTCCATAACGGCTCGAGGGCGAAACGGCCTTCCGAGAAGAACAGATCCAACCCCAGGCGCGAAATCAAAGAGCGGAAAGGGAGGATGAGGGATAATTGACGAGAGAGGATGAGCCAGTCCCGAGCTAACCTTGGCCTCTCTGAGCGTATACACCGATCCTGGTCCCAGGATTGGTCCGGCCATGATTGGTGCAGGTGTACGGCTTGTGCTCGGGAGGGAACCATAGAGGCAAAGACACAACCAAACGCCGATTTCCATGGAAATATCTGGAGACATCTTAGAAATGGAGGGAAAGGCGAACATCCAGAAAATATGTAGCATATGTCGAATCCTGGAACCAGTGTCTGTTTAACCCTGAAGGGTCTTCACCCCCCCCCCCAATCGGGCGTAACTAATCATTTTTCCGGCGGCCTCATTAACGGATTGGGGTCCCACCAGTGCAGGGGAAACCACTTAATTTTGTTCCGCGGCACCCGCGTCGCAAAAAACACGACGACAGCACGACTACGAGTGCGACTACAGCTACTAGGGAGGAGAAGGAGGAGGAGGAGGAGGAGGAGGAGGAGGAGGAGGGGGAGGTTTTAGGACCAGTCTTTTTCACCGCCGAGAGAAGAGGGGGGAGGACCAAAACTAAAAAGATCGTCAGCGGTTATTGGTGTGTCGAGACCGAGCGCGGAGCGCGCGGGCAGCTGCAGGCACGGTCATGCGACGCAGCATGACCCGGGTGCTCGACGAGCTGCTCGCGGAGCGCCCCCAGCTCGTCTACCTGGGGGAGGACGTTCAGTGGCAAATCACGGAAGCCTCGTGCACCCTCTGAAATCCATCTGTGGCTTCGGCTAGCGTTTGGTAAGTTGGTGAGATCGTGTCGATTTCGCGCCGATCAGCGTCGGCTATCGCGTCGGCTCAGCTCAGCGTCGACTCGCGTCGGTCAGCGTCGACTAGCACCGATTCGAAGTGGCCACCGAGACGGGGCGGGAGGCCCCCGCGAGCTGCCACCGAAGAGGACGTGCAGCACGGAGGCGGCGCGCGGCACCGGCCGGGGAGAGGCCAGGCCCAGGGCTTGCTCAGGGGCAGCGACAGGGGGGGGGGGGGGGGCAAAACAGGGTCGGGCAAGACTTCTGTCCATATCCACTGCAGTATGGAGTTTCGGGCTCCCTTCCCAAGAAACCCGAGGCGCACTGGATATGGACAAATTTGCCCCCTGGAGGCCCGATGTTCATCCATCTCCAGTGCGCCTCGGCCTTGCGGCGCCGCTTCCCCCAAAAAAGTCCAAGAGGCACTGGATATGGGCACGAATCTTGCCCGCAACAGGGTCGGGAGCTTTGGGATGCGCAGCGTGTCGGCCTGCTGGTCCCGGTGCCCCACGCCTCGGCGCGGCGCGCGGTCCGCGTCCCGGTCCCCCAGGCTGCCACGTCCCGAGCTCTGCCGAGCCTCCTGGCCCGCGGAGCGGAGCGACACGCCGGCTGCTCGCAGGGCGTATCGCCGGGGCCGCCGCCGCGGCACGTTGCCCCAGAGTTCCCGGCCGCAGGTCGAGGCCTCCTAGATGGGGTCCGAGTGGATTGGGGTCGGAGGATCGCGCCGCATCGCCGATGCATCGGCAACGCGGCTGGATGTGGAATCCGACTGCCTCCACGCCAAGGCCGCCGATGCATCGCCGTCGTCGCCGATGCATCGCCGATTCATCGCCGATGTCCGGGCGATGCGGCGCGATCCTCCGACCACATCTACTCGGACCCCATCCAGGAGGCCTCTAGGAGGCTCGGGGGGGAACGCATCGACCCCCAATCGCCCATTGATCGCCGGTAAGGATATGATAGCCCCACCCCGCCCAGGAATGTGCGGGCTCACTCTCGGGGGCCTATCGCCGATCTTTCGGCCATGTATCGCTGATTCCGGGTGATGGTTGCCCTCCTGGGCTGGGCCGCCCAGTCGTTGCCCTTCACCTGTGGCGGTCAGCACCAGGTGTCTCACAAGTCTTCCTTGTGCCGCTCAACCCTGTCTGTCGTTTTTCTCAAGATGGCCCGAGAGCGAAAAGGTTCAGGACGTCGTTCGGGACGCTCCTAATCACGAGAAGGTCCTTATCTGCGACCATTCGCGAACCCTACCCCCTACGGTTCAGCTCGACGCTGGGGTATCGGACACCCCCCCTGGGCTTCACCTGGCTGCAGACATCTTTCCAATTCTAAACCTCAGCCGTTTTTTCTGACATCTGATCTGCAAGGGCAGGGCTCGAATGCGGTTGCCTACATCAGTCGGGCCATCAGGGGTCGCGCTCTCACCCCCCCAATGCCCACCCTTGAAAGGGAGACTCACTCGACTGTTCAGTCCCCCAGATTCTTGTCTGGCCGTCATTCCGTTGCAGTCAGCCCCCTCCCCTCGCAGGGCCAGGCAGGCCCAACCAGGAGTGGCGGCCAAAGAGCTCCAGAGCGCTCCGGATCGCTCTGCAACTGACGCGGCGCTCGATGCGTCCTCCAGACTCGCCGGCTCTCAGAGTTTCCCAGTTGATCCTCATCGCAATGTATCCTCATTGTGTTGTCGTCTTACAGAGGCGCATGCCGTCTCTGTCGGGCGTTCAGAGATTTGGCTTCGAATCCGCTGATGTGCACGCCCCCATGGCCGTGGGGTGTTAGACTGTAGCCCGGCGTCCACTCTTTTCAGCATACGGGATCTTGTTGGCAGCATCGTCGATACCTCACTCCACGTTTTTCAGCAAACGCCGATGGGGGACGGGCACCCCCGCAGACATCGGCTGCGCTCAAGGGTGACTCTTCGCTGGAATGACCATTGTTATGCGGCTTTTGGGGGGGCGGTGTGGGCCGAAACCCAAGCGCGCAGGCCGCTGCAGTCGCATCGCATGCAACGATTAGCAAGCCGCGCACCAAAGGACACTCTTACCTACTCGCCCGCTGGCCTGAGAAAAAAAGGGGCACGTCGGGTCTCTGGGCTTGCGATGAGCAGAGTCCCTACCAAGCGCGGTTCATTAGACAGCAAGGCGCTGCCTCATGGAGTGCGTTAGGGAGGCAACCGAAGATGCGAGAGGAGTGTTCTGCGAGCTGCGCGCGTTCATATCTGACCTGCATTTTGGCTCGCTCCTGCCCATGACACGCGCCTCCATTCAAGTGGAGGGTATGTAAACCTAGCAAAACGAGTTTGATGACCGTGGGTTCGAAAACCAGCCATCCCAGCCATACGCGTCGGTGGAGGTGCTATGACTTGATTCAGGGCGCGTCGTTTTCCAACCCTCGCTCCGCAATGCATCCGTTCGAATGCATTGTACGACGTTCTAGCTTCCATCTCCCCAGCCTGCGCGGCTGCCGCCCACTCAGGCTACTACCGCGTGACGGAAGGTCTTCGCGACAAGCACGGCTGGCGGGTGGGAGTCTCAGCGTCGTGCTGCCGCGTCGTGGGCGGCCGCCGTGCTCTCGGCAGAGTCCGCCACGGCCTTTTCCGAGCGTGATCGGGGGCGTCGCCTGCCGTCCTCGATCCGCAGCGCCCGCAGCACGGCGGCACGAGCATGCTTCAGGAGGGAAAGACACACACAGACACAATGAATCGTCGATTCCCCAGAAAATATGGGCAGTGGGGGGGGAAGACAGAAACCCAGAAAACATGGGAAAATATGGGGGATTATTTTATTTGTGTGTATCTATTTGTGTGTCCTGGGGCCCCTTCAATGCTGGGCTGGCGGGCAGCATCGCAGCGCTCGGCTGGTGCGATCGGCCTGCCCGTGGCACCTCGCGGAGCCCGGTGCGATATGGGCACGAGGCGCGCGCTCTCGCCGAGGTGGCGGACTTCCCGCCGGACGAGACGTCCCTGCTGGGCGTGGCGATTGGCTACGCCCAGTCTGGCTTGCTGCCAATTTCGGGCCGGACGAAAGGGGGGGATTGGGAAAGGGGGGGTTACGAAATTTGCTGCATACAGCTGGTTTCGGCCCCGCCGCCGGGCCCATTCCTCGCTACATGGGCCCCTCCAGCGCCGGGAGGCGCCGGGAAAATCAGCTACGTGTGCTGATTCTCAAACCCCCCCCTTTGCTATCCCCCCCTTTCGCCCGACCCGACGATTGTGGAGATCCCGTACGCGAAGTACCTGGACTGCGGCGGCGACATGTTTTTCGAGGCAGGGTGTGCCGCACGCTGTCTGCCGCTCTCGCGTGCGATCCGGCCGACGTGCTGCTGCATCGGTCATCGTGCGAAGCACGTCGGGGAATCGAGCTACATGTGGGTAGGGGGCCACATGCGAACGCTACCCCTTATCCCCCACGATTTCTGCAAGGGAGGGTGGGGTTCACTTCGCTCGGGAGCTCCCGAACGAAGTGAACCCCCCCCTCCCCCTCAGAAATTGTGTGGGGGATAGGGGTGCCCCCCAGAGGGGGGCATGCTGTGTGGAGTCGGGCGGGGATGGGTTGCTCCTGGGTGTTTGTCTGTTCTTGAAAGGGCGGCTCGGAAGGAACTGGATTGTCGTGCGTAGGGTATCGAGTGTTTGTGCCTTGCCATCGCAGCGACCACGCAGGACTGGATGCACAGATTGGAGTATGGGAGGGAGTTTGGTGAAGTGGAAGAAAGGTGGTAGCAGCATCAGCTGAATGGGGAGAGGGGAGGAGACGGAGAAGCAGCAGCAGCAGCAGCAGGAGCTCGCAGGAGAAGGCGACAAACGAAGATGACGAGGAGAACGAGCATCAGCATCAGCAGGCGGAGAAGAGCGGGATGAGACCAGGCAGGGTGAAGCAGGGTGTGCAACAGCAGTATCCGAAGATTCCGCCCGGGGGACGGGGACCGGGAGGAAGACGAGGAGGAGGAGGAGGTGTTCTAGCCGAAGGCGGTTCCCGACCTCAGGTGGTCGCACTTTCGTTACCGTGCCAACCCTTTGCGCTGCTGTCCCAGCGGACGGCCGCACACATCGTCTTTTATCTCCCCCATACCCCACATCCTGTGCATTCTTTCTTCCTGTGACATCACGGATAGGAGGAGGGAGCCTGCGTGGCACCGCCGAGAACGGGCCAAGCGAATGCAGTCGAGATTGTTGCTGGGAGCAATTGAGGCCAGAGGCATCCTAGACGGACATCACGCCAGCCCACGAGTGATCATGTCATGGGCATGCAGGTCGTGCAATCGTCTCAACTGGAATTCAGTATGGCAGTGCACATGTGGCAATAAGTGGCAGGCTCGACCCCAGCAGAAAAGAGAGTCCAGCCAAGGGAGACGCAAGCCAGTGAAGATCAGTGAGCTGATCAGGAATGTTCCTATCGCCACACCAGATGAAGCTGCATCACATCCCAGCTGGCAGCGACCTCCAGATGACGTCGACGAGGCCGTCAGCTATCGGAAGGATACGCAGTCCAAGTTGCAGCGCCTCGCCAACTTGTACAATGCTGGGCTGCAGGCATATCGACACGATAGTGCAATGCTGACGGAGATTGGAGTACTCAAATTCATGGTCTCGGCCAGCAAAGGCAAAGAGAAGCTTGCCAATGGTCTGCGCGCCAGGCTTGCCGATGTCAAAGATAGGTTACGTGTCGTCCAGAGGAGGATCGATAATGCTATGGCGGAGGAGGGCAGCCTGAAGAAGAACATCGCCAAACATGTCGAGTCCATCCAGCAGCTCGAGGAAGACGATGCCGAGGATTGGATCATGGAAGAGGCGGCCGAGCCTGAACGTTCGGCGAGGGCCAGTGCCTCCGAGCCTGAGCGTTCGGCGAGGGCCAGTGCCTCCGAGCCAGCCAGACGCCAGGAGGTGCAGCCTAGGCCTGTGGTTGCACTGCCGCAGCCGATCCCCCCGGCGCCAAAGGCCGAGCCGCCGCCGCCCCCCACAGCGCTGCGCGCAGCCAGAGACCTCGAGCTCATGAAATATATGGGAGATGTAGCGGCCGCCCTCAACACGATCAGTGAGCAGCAGAGCACCACAGCTGAAAGAGTCAATCAGCTGATGACAGGCCAGCATTTTCACACGATGGCCATCAGACAGATCATTGAGGGCAACGCGGGGTTTCCCAAGCCAGCTCCGTCGGTGGTGCAGACGGTAGGTCCTGGAGAGCAGATCCCGCACCCTCAGCAGCAGCTCAGCGAGCAGCAGATCAACCTGGCGAAGGCAACGGCTGCAGCCCCTCCGCCCGCGGCCTGGTGGCCACAGCCACCCCCGCCGCCGCCGCCACAGCCGCAGCAGTAGCAGCAGAAGCCCCAAGAGGTGGCGCCGCCGAAGACCCCACCCCTGAAGCCAGCGCACGGGTCGCCAAGTGCGGTCGACAGGCAGGTCCCCACTACTCCAGTCGCCGAGTCGCCAGCCCCCCAGCAGCGCCAGAGAGACATGGACGAGGACGAGGCCGTGGTCCCAATAGCCCCAGAATGGCTCGCCAGCACGCAGGCGATGATGTCCCAGCGAGAGCAGATCCCAGGGCCAACCCATCTATTTCATTACCTGCAGAAGCCGATAGATTGATCACAAGCGAGCAGCATCCCGAATGTGCAGCCATCGCCGAACACACAACAGTCGCAGCTGTTCCCGCCCAAGTGGGCTGCCCCCACCGCGGTGGAGCAGGAGGCCATGGCATCGACACCATCGACGCAGAGGGCGCAGACAGCGTTGGCAGCAGCAGCGCAGCAGGTCGCGAACACCCAGGAGGCAGTCAAGGAGGAGGCAGGGACTTCTGATGAAGGAGGAGGTGTTCAAGCAGGAGATAGGAGGCGAGAAGCACTCCAGGGAGGAGATCCAAGTGGGGACCCCCGCGAAGCAGTCAGGGACGAAATGCCAGTGTTACGAGCGGTAGACAGAGTGGGACCTCTGAGCCAAGTCGTATTTGGCGACACCCGGGTGACGCGTTTCTGTGGGAATTCCATGCCTTGCACCAGAACAGCGTTGTATCACATCAGACGTGGGACCCAGCCGTCCAACGACATACTTAGACATCAGGCAGACAGAGATAACAATTTGAATATCATGATGTGCGGGGGCTACATTGTGAAGATCAGCGATCCTCTACCACTGCATCGATGACAACAAACCAACATGCCCCCCTTGCACTAGCTAGACGAGTCCGCATACGTGTCAAGACTCAGGCTGATTTTACAACGCATTCGAATGCAATTGCATCGCCAGGTGGGGGCACAGGGCGCGGCAATTCTTCCTGTGGGGCGTCTGTGGATGGCGGGCAGCTCTCCACAGGCACTAATACCCTCGGCGCGGACGCGAGCATAGCGCCAATGTCCAGAGCCGCAACTACGGCGCCAGCTGGAGTTGCAAGCATGACCGACGGCGAATCGCCCCAAGCGGCGGTCTCCACGTCGCCCAGCTTTTCTGCAACCCGGAGAAGGCTTCTGAAGAAGACTTCGATTTCAACACCTGTCGGGCAGGGAAGGAAGTGCTTGGACGCGCCTACTACACGAGCTGTCGACGAGGGGTCATTGGCTGCAGTGGTGGCGGACGAGCGGGCAGCGCCAAATGCGCCGACCAGATCTTCAGCGCACCCTCCCAGCAGACGGGTGAGATGCAAAACCAGACCAGCGCGCGACCTCGACAGCCAAGAGAGCAACCGCCCGGACGCGCGGCGTGTTCATGCACCTGTCTCCCATGGCCGTACTTCTACTGGGGGCCTGACATACCTGCTGTCAGGACACCAGGGTAATACTGCTGTCTCCGCATTTCTTCAGACGGGGTCTCGAGAGGCGCTGCGAGCCCAACACTGGAGCCCCAGGAGACCCAGGGCCTGCAAAGCCAGAGCCCCGCCACACTGGTATTATATGATTTGTTATCTCTGCCATCAGGTGACTCCCCACAGGAACCCCACTTCGGTATCCGTCAGGAAGTTGATTTACCACGAGTACTGCGACAACATCAGGGGCGGTTCAAACCGAGGAAGGACGTCATAGGCACCCAACTTCACCCGATGGCGAAATTGGCATTAAGCGTGGCGGTGCCTGTCACCGCGAGGCCTGATAAGATACATGTGTAGTGCGATGCTTCCTTTAAGAAGACACTTTCGCAGAGCGCTTGGGAATTTGCAGCAGTGCCGACATCAGTGGCAGGCGAAGTTGGCAATCTCGGATTCGAGAAAATGAACGCCGCAGCTTCCGCAGACATCAAGTTCGTAGACGAGGAAATAACCAGCACAACCATTGAGTTAAGTGGAATCTTCTGGCCGTGTATATGGACTCCAGGTTGCTATGGGCGTCAAGTGGGGGCCACCATTGGGAACTCGGAGGTGCCAATCTTTGGAATGTTACGCGGTAGCCAGTCTGCGGTGGGGAGTGCTCGCGGGGCGCAAGTACCGCGTGCAAATCGTGACCTCGCACGCCTAACATGCGCAATGTACCGGCTGGCACGACGTAGACATGGAGTACATATATGGCACATAAAAGTGCATGCGCAAAACCCGTGGAACGAGTTCGCGGGTTCGGTTGCGAAGGATGACAATGCCACGGCCACCATGCCGCCAGAGGGGTTGCGGCAGGCGCTGCGCTTCGAGCGCAGCATGGACTGGATGCGGCAACTTGACGCCCCCCCCCCCCCCCCGAGGTGAGGGGGGCGTGTCCGATTGACGCACAAAACAGATGGACCCCAGGGCCAATCGCGAACTGCGAATGCCCGCCTTTTTTTTCATCTGTCCCGAGGGCCAGTGAGCAAGCGACACAAGTGAAGATGAACATGCGCACCGTGACGTTCAATTCCACTTCCGCCAAAGACCTCGATGCAGGACATGGGAAGCCACCGAGGATCTCTGGAGAACTGCTTCGGCACCAATTCCGCGGGGAACACGTCGTCGTGGCGGGCATGCAGGAGGCCCGCGACTAGGAAGGAGCTCGGACATCTTCGGGGTATTTCGTCACGTCCTCGATGCTAAAAACCATGGGGTGGAGCTGCGGGTGGCACTGGACTTACCATATGATCATAAGAATGGAGAAGCCTTGTATTTCGTGCCCAAGAATTGCTTGCCTATATACAAGACACCGAGGCACCTGTTCGTGAAGTGTGATGCCCTATACGTTGAAGGTACTATCGTGGTTGCGCATGCGCTGCACAACGGCACGGAGTACACGCCCGCACAGCGCGTGGAGTGGTGGAGAGAGCTGCAGCACCTCACGAGTAAATATGGCACGCACATCGTGTTCCTAGATGCGAGCGCGCGC